CATAGAAGATTCTGGAGATGCTGTGCCTGTATTCGAACGATATGGCGAAGGAAGGTAAGTGCTTCAAATTCAATCGCAAGTTGCATCTTGTCACCAGGTTTTTTCAAAGGTTATTACCAACAAAAGCCATCATAATTCATGGTGAACAGTTAAAATTGTTAAGTAATGCAACCCTGCAAGAAATTGTTAGCCATTATCAACAGGTGCGAGGAATTACAAGAAGTTTCCACTTTTTTCGCAGCCTTACCCTTCTAGGTTGTATTTTCCCGTACCTCACCGGCTCAAAAGCTCCAAATCGTTGAAGCTTATCAAGGTACAAACAACATCGTCGCTGTTACCGGCGACGGGGTGAATGATGCTCCAGCGTTGAGAAAAGCTGACATAGGTAGCTTTTACTTTACCCATTCTAAATATTACAATATAAAAATTTTTCCAAGGGATTGCTATGGGTATTGCTGGAACAGATGTTTCAAAGCAAGCAGCTGATATGATTTTGCTCAATGATAACTTTGCTTCCATTGTGACAGGAGTCGAAGAGGGTCGACTGATCTTTGATAATCTCAAGAAAAGCATCGCATACACCTTAACATCTAACATTCCCGGTAAGGTTTTTGAACAGGCTAAGCTTCTCTTACATGGACATGCACCGTATGCGGAACAAACGTTTATCCATTTTTATCTATCCTGTGATGCAGTCTTTGGAATCTTGACTTCTAACAAGGTTCACTTTAGGGATTAGAATAAGTTTTGGGGAGTTGGGAAGATATTTTAGGAATTTGGGGAGATAGAAGGGCTAAGCGTAGAAGGATTAGGAAAGTGTTGTTTAAGAGATGTTATCTTTACGTACAAAGTGCTAGTAGTGCTTCTAGGATTTTACTCCAAATATGGGTTTTCAACACAATCCACTTACCCCCTAGGATCTTTGATAAGCATTTTCAGAGATAATGCCATTTATGTCCTATGTAATTGTTGGAATTCCGTTACCATTGTCTCTAGTTGCTATACTTATGATAGATTTGGGAACTGACTTGGTAAGCAGGGATATTT